ATATTGCCATTGCCTTTTCTTTAATCGTCAAATGGGAAAGCAGCGCGTTATACAACAAACATAAATGTGGCTCACGACTGCGAAATCTTCAAATCGTCAAATTATGGTCGGGCTTCTAACGCGCTGACATGTCATGAAGAAGGACGACTACATACTTCATTCCCATTTGCATTTCCGCTTCCTGTGCCTTCTGTGCGTCAGTCATGGAACTGTGACAACGAAATGAGTTACAATTCATTAGAGACCTTCTGCATATATGTATGTATGTGGGTGTTCACACTCATTTGGGGGTGTGTGGTTGTGCGAGTGTACGTAATTATGATGACCGCATCCTTTTGGTTCTTTTTGTGTGCCCTAAATTAATGAGAAGCCACCGCAAAAAACGCATTTTATCACACATTTACGTATGGGAGTACATACATATGTACATATATATCTGCAGCTTGTCAACGCGACGCTGATTCAGCACTTCACTCTTCTTTACATTCAATTTATTTTTACTCCAAATCAGGGCAACGAAACATAGAGACAACGTGGCCGCGATTCCATGCGGGCTTCATGCATGAAAATCCATTTTCTACCATCAATTTAAACCCCTTTTTCTTAGATTTCTATGCGATTTACTTGGCTTAGCAATAAGACAGCAGGCAAGGCACATGCGCTCCGGCACGCTCTCTTTATTGAATTTTCGAACATGCTTAAGTAATAAATTGCATAAAGGCACTATTCTTCAAAATGTAATACCAAATTTGACAGCTGCCACTCGTTGATGTGATTTCAAATGAGAATTTTATGAGCACACACAATCCAAAATACAATTTAGAGCCATGTTCCCAACCCACACACTCACACACCGTTAGTGTATATACTTATATACACGAATATACAATTTTTATACACTCATTGTGATTGTTGAAGTGCCACTTTTGCGTGAAATGCTTTTATAGTAGTTGAAGTATTATTAGAGCTGCTTAATCGGGCGTGATTTTGACAGCAACAGCATGCGTAGCAGTTATCTAAAAAATACAAATATTAATGCCAACCGAATCGCAAGCGTGGGTTTGGCTTACATTTATTAAACATGAAATGAAATTGATTTTACAAGAAAAATCGCTTCCTTGTCTGCAATATGAATAGATTTTTGTACATTAAATTCTTCAATTAGAATAAGCGCTAATGTACAAGATACGATTTAATTAGGATTAAGGTTTAAAGAGAGAAATTGAAAATTTCCTTTGCATATCTTTTTGCTGTTTAACTGTTTTTTTGTCTGTTGGACCTAAAAGCTAGCTTTAAATGTGTTACAAGCAATGTGTGTACAAGCTCTGCCAACAGCTGTTGTTGTTCCTGCGGCTTTGGCTTAACTGTGTACTGCACACATACATGAATTCGCCTCCCGAAGGTGGTATAATTGACCTGATTCTTTTTATACCCTGTACCCGTAGGGTAAAAAGAGTATATTAGGTTTGTGCAAAGTATGTATCATGCAGAAGGAAGCATCTCCGACCCCATAAAGTATATATATTCTGAATCAGCACGACGAGAGCAATCGATCTAGACATGTCTGTCCGTCCGTCTGTCCGTCTGGATGAACGCAAGCATCTCAGAAACTATAAAAGCTAGAATAACCAAAGTTGGCATCCAGATTCTCCTGGGTCCGAGAAAGAGAGTTTTTTTTTAATCTTCCCCCCTTCCCCCGCTACAGAATAACGTCCACATTTCAAATGCTACCTAAACCAAACTTTGCACACATAATTTATATATAATTATCTACTGTTGTATACAATTTTATTCAATTCGATCAATTCTTCTTTTTGCTGCTGCTATGGGCGCATTTAACTCAGTGTCGGAAGTTTACCTGAGTACAGGGTATTTCACTGTCGGGCTTGCTCGACTGTAGCGTTCTCTCTTGTTATAATTATCCTAAATATTTAGGTGAGTTAAATCTGTTCTACCAATCAAATGTGAAATGTATTTAAAATTGACCTTTTCTGCGAAACCTCATGCACAACTAAGACTATAAATGATCACCAACATGCCTATATGCCTATGCATGAATATTCGCAATTAAGACGCTATGTTGGTGTGCCACTTTGTACGTTGTTAAATTCTAGCACCTGGTAATTGCACGCAACATACAAGAAGGGCTACAACAACAGTAATAATAGTTACCACAACAACCACACACCTTACAAGCCTTACAAGCTTTACACGCTTCACACGCCAAAACGCCTATCAGCAAATCGGTTCATTTATGCCAAATTCGCACGCCATGTCAAACGCCATATGCAGCGGAGAAACATTTTGTGGGTGTGTGTGCTCACACAATTAAACGTGCGCCGGAGGGTACCTGTCCAAAACAACACTCTAACCAGGACCCTCAAGCTACACCTCCTTCCACCGCCCACTGCAGTGACCATTTGCAATTTCTCGAAAGCGAAGCAACCACAAGAATGAAGCGCGATGGTGAGCAGCAAAGAGTACAAAACAAAGGCTAAAAAAAACAACACAGTTCCATCAATCATTTAACGCCAACAAAGGCAGCGCAGAAAAGTTGCGCCCATGAAGCATACGCACCGTTGTTCCGCCAACTCATAAATTTAAGATGTTGTGCGAAAGGTAAAAACATAACAAAACTTCTGATAACCTCCAGGTACATCGATTTAAATCAGCTACGAGTTAAGAGACTTACAAACTAGTTTTATTTGTAAAACTTTTACCGAAAATAACTCTAAAGTTGCGGTGCAAGTACTGTTGGGTACTTCTAACAAACTTAAGTAACCTTAAGCTATACAAGTAGATTAATTGGCAATACTTCAATATGAAAAAATTTGCATGAAAAGACTCTTTTAAATGTCAACAGCAAAACCATAAAACCTAGATATGTTATATACGAGTCAATAAAAATAATCAGCTCTTACGATGAAAAATAGCACTTCCACAAGAAACCCTTGTGCTCAACTGCACAAGTCCTACAAGATAATTGCTAATCTTTTAACCAAACAAATAGAACAATAGTTCTATAATTAATGAACAGTTTCGCTAACATGTATTATTTTGAGAACAACTTACATAAGTATATAAAAACTATTAAAAACAAGAGAGAACGCTACAGTCGAGCAAGCCCGACAGTGTAATACCCTGTATCATACATAATTCTGGTGGTATATATAGTATATAGAACTACCACATAACTACCAGGCTCTATTTTTATACCGTGTACCCGTAGGGTAAAAAGGGTATATTAGGTTTGTGCAAAGTATGTATCATGCAGAAGGAAGCATCTCCGACCCCATAAAGTATATATATTCTTGATCAGCATGACGAGAGAAATCGATCTAGACATGTCCGTCCGTCTGTCCGTCCGTCTGTCCGTCCGTCTGTCCGTCCGTCTGTCCGTCCGTCTGTCCGTCTGTCCGTCCGTCTGTCCGTCCGTCTGTCCGTCCGTCTGTCCGTCCGTCTGGATGAACGCAAGGATCTCAAAAAAGTGAGTTTATTTTATTTTTTGGAATTTTCCCCCCCTTTCCCCGCTACAGAATTCCGTCAATAGCGTCCACATTTCAAATGCTACCTGAATCAAACTTTGCACACATTATTTATATATAATTGTCTATTGTTGTATAAAAAATATTCAATTCGGTCAATTCTAAGAAAAGTTATTAGCAAAACAAATTCTCGCCAGTACAACCCCCACAAACTGCAGCAACAAGTTCGCTCTTCTTCTTCCTCTTTTTGCTGCTGCTATGGGCGCATATAACTCAGTGACGGAAGTTTACCTGGGTACAGGGTATTACACTGTCGGGCTTACTCGACTGTAGCGTTCTCTCTTGTTTTCATTTGTATGTCTGATGAATTATCCATTCACATTACAATAATTAAAATAAAACACAAATCTATAATTTCCCAAAATAAATCCAGTTTGGTAAACTTGATAAAAGGTCTTCTCATAAGGAAGATTGATTCAAATTAATTTTTATCGACAAAGTTAAGTGTTTCTTTAAAAAAAAATTTAAGAAAACAATATGCTATAGGAATTATTGAGATATGGTAATGTGTCGATTTTTGAGGGTATATTCCATCTATAAAGTCCTTAAAATTTGTACAGCTTCTTTATACAATAAATAATACGCAACCCAACACCATTGGACAGAGAACATACTTTTAATTATTTAAAGAAATAATAGATAAATCTACACAATAGTTTTATTCGGTACATATATGTAATCAATGGATTGAAATTTTCTGTCTTATTTCTAAAGGTAATTATTTTTACAATGGCTATTTATTAGTTATAAATATACCCAAATAATTTGAGATGCTTAAATTCTAGATTAACATTTAATACAATTTCAATGTTTCTTATTATTTTGTGTGTGTGTGTGTGTGTGTGTGTATTTTATTTTATTTTTTAAGCCTTACAATATAAATTCACAATCAATATAAATACATACATACTATATATGTATATGGAAGTATGGCAAGATTTAGAGATACACCTCAGAGACTCTACATTCTAAAGTACTGACGAAAGTAAATGTTACAGCTAAGTGTCATGTGCGTGGGCGTGTGCCTTTTATGTCTACAAATGTTCGTATGTGTATGTGTTAACGTTTTCTGAGAAATCTAAGTAAAAAAATGAATATGCACATACTCTATGAATGGGCTTGCCACAATTTGCCCGACGGCATTGTTATAAGAAAAGGGTTTTTATGTGCCACAGAACAGATGCCAACACAGATGTGTCTGCACCAGCGACATTGTCCCAAAAAAAATGTTGCGGGTGCACGCATGGAAATAGAGCCAGCAGGGGACTGACAAACAGTCAACAATTTGTGTCAGACGGCTGTTATGTGTGCAGCAAAGGCGCTGTCGACAACAAAAGGAAGCGAAGACCCAAACATTTCTTAAATGTTCGTTTTACCAAACTGTTTTATGTCTTTTCTCCTACATATTTAAATTCTGGCAAATGACTTTAGAAATGATTCAATTGATAAGGCCGTTCAGCTAGGAATTAAATTAAATGTTAGTTAAGGAACAAATAATAATTACAACTTTTTTGAAGGTAAGTTACCTTCTACAACTATTCGCACATCGCACATTTGGAATGATAGGATCTACTAAGGATCTATCTTTAATAGTTACGTTTGTGGAATTATTTTCATGTCTAATCTGATTAATTGGGGACAGGATCAGTAAAGAGAAACGATTCACGACTTGAAGACTTAATCAGGTTTGAAATGCTAACTTGATCGGAGTATTTTTTGAGCACATAATTGTTCCAAAATGTGAATTGAATAAAATTAAGTTGTATTAGGAAATTCATTTAAGTAATTCTTCTTAGCAATTGACTTCAACTTTAATATCTGCCTTCATGCCTGAACGGCCTTTCTTTCATTTGCATCTAACCACGGAACATGGCCATATGATTGGGCGGCGGCTTTTGCTTACAAATGCGCCGACATGTCAAACGCCAAAAGGCAGTGCGGAAATCTGGATTATAAAAGGCATAAATGAATGGATTTATGGCACAATTCACCCAGCCGACCCATGTGAGGAAGGACATGAGTCCTTCCAGCACTGCAGCGCGTGGCAGGAAGGGTATTAGCAGATAATAGACGAAGAAGGGCAGCCAACAAGCAATGAGGCCGCCCATAACAATTGTTAATGTTTTGGCGGTTTTCGTATCACGTTTTGTGGTGGACACGCGCATTGGCATACGCTGATGAGCATGATGGTGTGGATGGTGATGATGATTGTGTTGGATGTGCTGCTGCTGCTGCTGATGATGATGATGATGATGCTGCTGCTGCTGATTTGCCGCTGGCTGCTGCGGTTGCTCGCCAACTTTGCTTGTCTCAGCAAATGAAGTTTGACTATCATTGTAGTGCAATGCCGAGGACCGTCTTGTGTCCCCGCCCGCCGCAGTGCTGTGCATACAAGGACCTCCATATTTGCAACTTATTGCGGAGCAGTGGATGAGCGATGAGAGGCGCGACACTTCCACCAATTCATAGAATGTTGGCTGATGCTTAAATGTTAAAGTTTTATCCACGACGCCCTTTGGCAGACATTTGTTGCATTTAATGCTGTTGCTGCTGCTGCCATTTGTGGCATGACTTGCGCCACTGTTTGCACTGTTGCTCGCTGTTGCCCCATTGCCATGCAGCGAGGTGAGACGCCAACGTGTTTTGCACATGGGCAAGCATTTGTGCGGATTGCAATGATAGTGCTCCGATTCTGAGATGAAGTTGTCGCCATCAAGATCTGGGTCAGCGGTGCGTTCAACGTTCTGGAAAATTAAATGACATATATTAGAAAGAGCGTTAAATATTCAGCCACTATTCCACACTAATAGTTGTAGCAAAAACAAACATTCGTTCTGAAGTACTACTGAATCGATGTTATACGATCCTTTAAAAGATACAGCCATATTAACGTGACCCAAAAATGCTTTCCTCAATCTTTAAATATTTCGAAAATCTGTTACTGCAATAAACAAATAACAACTTCCTGCATACTATGTAATCAGACCTGTTCGGCACAACGGCTTTGATAAATAAAAAAGATTTCTTAAAACTTGTCCTGCGTGGCAAGATCAACACATATTAGACCTATGCCCTAACTCGCCTTTGATTTCGCAGCACGGAAAGAAATTCAAGACGTCCAATATTATAAAACCAATAATAAATTGTAGACCGAAATATTATGTCCGCCTACAATTACATGAATTGTTAATTAAAGAGACGCATTTCTGTGTTCTGGCTGTATATGCCAGAGGCTAACCACTGAACTTATTTGTGATTACAATTGCAATTAAATTAGAGAAAGATTTTCTTTATAAACATTGGTATAAAAACCTATAATTTAAATTATTATTATAAGTATTATTGTACATTTAAAAATTATCTTTTAGTGACGTAAATGGCTACTTTCTTTATTAAAATGAAGTGCCACTTCCATGTAAGTGAATCTTTAAGCTTACTACTAGTGAGGCAGAATCGACTCAGCTCCCATGCAGCCAGAAACCCACATATGTACATGCATATGTACACCTATTCCCATAGACATTTATGATAAATTAAGCGAGGTGAGTACACGGAGCATTTGCTATGCCACAGCTCTGGGGGCTCATACTCGTATGCTCGGATGACTATGTCTGCTTCTGAGAATGTTGTTGCTACGGATGATATAGTTGCTGTTGTACTCAACACGAGCTTACCGCATCGCGCACAATACGCTGTCGCCGTGATGTCAGCACATAACCAATCTTAAGGTAAACATAGAGCATTACTGTGAGTGGTATGAAGAATGAACCCATTGCCGAGAATACTACGTAGCCTTTATTCTGATTGTAGCGACAGTCGACAGAGTCCTGCTGCCGTCGGCCCTGTTCGTACCTGCAAAAAGTAAAAACACGGGATAGTAAATGCAGTTCAAATCATGAAACGTTTGCCCTAAGCGTGATGTTCCTATATACATATATCTGCTACTGCGGCTATTGCTGCTGCTGTTGCTGTTGCTGTTGCTGCTGTCGACGCTTTTGTGGTTAAGCCCAAGGTGTTGCCATAGTTTATTATACGCAGCACAAACAAATGAACAGTGACATTGCGCCATACATTTATCCTCGCGAACACATACATTGCCACCATCCCCTCACAGGCAGTGATGCCACTATTCGATTGGCTAAAATGGTCGAGCCAAAAAATATTTTAAATGAAACCATAAAAAAATATAACCCATACGGGTATAGAGCTGGTTCTAAGATTAGGCAAAGTAGTAAGTAATTCTCCCAAGCTCTTCGAGCATGTATGTATGTCTGCTCGTTAAAAAGACATTAAATTAAATAAATCAAGCTATAAATGTTAACTAATTCAAGCAAAAATACTTATCAACTAATGTCCTCTAATAAACAAATTCTTAATTCTAGTTATCGAAAGCATTTCATTACCTTACCGTTAAGATGAGTGGGCGTTTTTTTTTTTTTTTTTTTGTCTTTGAAACGAAATTTAATTTTGTGTAATTATTATGATATTACAAAGTAAAAACTTCATTGATGAACAATGAAACCTGAACTTACAATAGTTTCGGTCAAGGGTATGTGTTTTTTTTTAAATAAAATAAAATCAGTTAACCATACATTTTAAAAATGGCTAAATGGGCAGACCTGTTCGCAGCTGTTCGCCACTTCCGCTGACAGCCAACGAAATGCAACAAATCGTTGACACTCATTTGCTGCCGCAATGGCAATAAATCTAGTTTTTTGTTCAACTTCATTGCAACATTTTTGTGTTTGCAAAGTCCGCCCAGCCTTCCGTTTTCTCATTCCATTACTCTCGCAAGCCCTCACATTATTTTATGTTAACGTTTACATTCCCGAGGCAAGCTCACTGTGCAACTTTGGTGCCGTAACAAAGTTAGCCATTTAATCAAAAATGTTAACTGGGTCACGGTTTGGCACAAGCTTAGTAACTACCTTAATTCATAATTAATGCTGGCAATATCAATGCTAGTAATGTATAAATTTAGCTTGGAGTCATTTTTCGCTGCTATTGGAATATTAAAAGAAATTGCCAACATATCTATCCATCTAATCAAGTGCTCTTTCGTCAAGATAATGCACGAGTCTATTTGCAGTTTTGATACCAACACTACATGGTTTAAAAACAAGGTATCTTTGAAACAAGAGTCGCATATACGCTATCTATATAACAGACGCCTATTTTGAGAGCATTTCAGAAACATTTTTTGTGGCGAAGCTTGGAGAAGACTATGCAGATTGTACCTCTTAGGTATTCGCACAGAGTGCAAACAATTTTGTTCATCAACTTTTGCAATTAAATATAGATTAAATATTTAAGCTTAAAAGAAAAAGTAAAACTAGAACTGCCCTTTAACTCGAAAACATATGCACCATAAAATTTTGGTTCCACTTGAATGTACGAATATTACGAACATTCCAGTTAAAAAGAATGCATCTATCTCTGCCGGATCTTTACCAAAGATGTCTGCAGCTTGATCCAATTCTTCAGCATCGACTTTAAGCAACACCCATCTGTGAGTACCGGGCCCCACAATTTCAAAAGGCACCTATTTGAACAGCTTTCAAATAAAGAATATAGATTACAGCAAAAGCACCATCATAATTTAAAATGCAACGTAATCTTAAATCCTAATTAGGTTTAAGCCACTGGCGCTCTGAAGTATGTCACCACATCAGACGGGACCAACAACTCATTAACGACTCGTTAACAGGCTAATTTAAAAGGAAGAAATAAGCAGCAGCAAGAACAACAACAGTAGCATTGGGTAGCAAACTTACGTCATTTTTCAATCGGCAATTTTTGGTCTTTTATATTTTTGTCGGTTTTTTGCATTGTCTACCACAAATTGCCATTAACAGAAAAGCGGCAAGACAAACAATGTAAAAATAAGGGAATAAAAAGGGAGCGCGCCCAAAAATTGTCGTCAACTTACCAACCCAAATATGGTGGGCATGTGATTGACAGCGCCGTTATCCACACCACGAGTATCATGAGCAGTGCCAAGCGTTTCGAGCGACGTTTTTTTGAATATGTCAAGGGTTGTGTCACGGCAAGATACCTGAAAGTGGCAATAAAACCAAAAGAAATGTCATAAAAGCGCGTACAACAAAATAACAGAAACAAAAGCCAAACAGTACATATTGTTAATAAAGCTGTAGACCATCCCATACCATCCCATCCCATCCCATCCCATCCTATCCGATCCCATCCTAGCCCATCAGGTCCTACCCCATTCCGACTATCATCGTCTCTGGCAACAGCAACAGAAAACTTGGAAATGCCATTAAAATGTAATTGAAACTTCCAACAAAAGCATCGCACGATGAGTAGTGCGACCTATGTATGTATGTATGTATGTATATATGTATATATGTATATATGTATGTATATATATATGTATGTATGTACGAGCTACCTACCGGCTGCGAGCTTCAAGCCCCAGTACTACGTTTATTGGACATCGGCGCTTTCGCTGTGGGCGTTTATTTAAGCGGGGGTCTATTTACACTCGTACATACATACATATACATACTATATATATAGTATAGTATGCTGCGTCAGGTCGTAATAAAAACGTCAACAAATAAATTATTTTGCAGCGTTTTTTTGCACCTTCTTTATGCGTTTATTATACCAATGCCAATGGGTTGTGTGCGTGCGTGTCTGCTTCTGTTTGCTGTGGTTAAGCTTATGACATCAACCTCAAGCCTTGCATGCTCCAAAGAGCAATTTTCGGTTGCGCTTTGGCCAGGCTTTTCAGGAAATACAGGACAACTAATAATTAAAAGTCGCAAGCGCGTGAGCTATGTTCTAGTTATGTGCATTTTATGTTTATGGTAGCGATGTAAATAAAATTATATAAAAATATAATTTAATAAAAATTGAGCACTCCGTTTAAGCTAAAATGAGGGATACGTGTTATATTACTGTCAAACAGTTGAATTTCACCCAAATGAGTGAAATTTATTACAGTTTCTGGCTTAGTAACATTTGGTATTCAATATAGCTAAAGTTATTTATTACAATTCAATATAGCTAAATTTAGGTTATTGGTATTTTAATTACATCTACAGTATGGGCGCAGCTTATAATTTTCTGTAAGCCGAATTAACTTCGTCGTCAAATTCAATCAAAAAGCTAGCAGGCTAAATTCAGGATGTAAGCGTATTTGAAAGCATAGATAGTAAGTACAATGGTAAGAGAAAAATGTGAACCGCTCGTTGGAGCAATCGACGTTCTCCTTTCTTGTGCGTGGAGGCAATTGAATCCGTTTTCTTTTTAAAACGATTTCTGAGTTTTTTCAATTCTAGTGGTGGTTGTAGAGAAAAAATTGTTTTTCAGTTACAAAAGATTCGAAATAGAATTGCACTGACACTGCTTTTTCTCGTTTCATTCAAAAAGTAAAGCTCTTACCTGTTGAGTATAGAATGCATTCGAACTAAAAGTATATGCTGCCTAGTGATAAAACTAATCCTTCAATTGGATATACCAGCACGTTGTCAAGTTAATTGCACTTATTTGTTTAGCCAATATGCGCATCGACATTTCAACCTGGGAGGCGATTGAATCCGTTTTCCATTTAAACCGATTTCTGCGTTTTTTCAATTCTAATGTTGGTTGTAGAGAAAAAATTGTTTTTCAGTTGCAAAGGATTCGAAATAGAATTGTACTGACACTGCCTGTTTCACTTTCATTCAAAAAGTGAAGGTCTTACCTGTTGCAAATATGCATTCAAATGAAAAGTATATGCTGCCTAGTGATAAAACTAATCCTTCTATTGGATATACTCTTATGCCAGCACGTTGTCAAGTTAATTGAACTTATTTATTGAGCCAATTGGCATCTGGAGCCAATTGAATCCGTTTTTTTTAAACGATTTGTGAGTTTTTTCAATTCTTGTGTTGGTTGTAGAGAAAAAATTGTTTTTCAGTTACAAAAGATTCGAAATAGAATTGTACTGACACTGCCTGTTTCACTTTCATTCAAAAAGTAAAGCTCTTACCTGTTGCAAATATGCATTCAAATGGAAAGTATATGCTACCTAGTGATAAAACTAATCCTTCCCTTGGATATACTCTAAAGGCAGCATGTTGTCAAGTTAATTGCACTTATTTTTTTAGCTCATCTGTTATTGCGAATGTGGCTTCCAATATGCGAATTGGAGGCCACATGTTGATGAAAATGAATCAACTAAAACAAGAAAACGAATGCTTGGAAATGTGTGTATAAGAGAAACGTATACTTAATGTATATTACTTAAGCGACTGCTACTATAAAATGACAAAGCATATGATAATACAAATACTAATTTTTTCTTGTTTTTAAAGACCTATAGACAAAACAAGACATTGCCATCGCCCAATATCATGATTTATCTCGAAATAGGCATTAAAGCATTTATAACTGAATAGAAACTATATACATATATTTATAATATATTAAATATTTGTTCTTAAATGAAAGTAGAGCTTTAAGAGCGGCATTAAATATTTTAAATTTCTAAATTTCTCTATCTCTTCACATATTGCTTTATCTTCTCATTTATTACAGTAGCTTCGGCCACCTTTCGTGTAATTCTGTTCTTTCTACATTTTTATTGACGCATACACCCATACACATACAGGCGCACTCAAGCATTTTCTTAATGTGCAAAAGCAATTAAAGACTTGCCTTTCCATTCCATATACCCACAAGGAAACTCATTTACACACATTAGAAGACACCGAAATATTGGACTCACCTGTCGAGACTAATGGCGCACAAGCTGAGTATGGAGCCAGTGCAGAGCAGTATATCCAACGATACCCAGATGTCGCATAGTATCCAACCAAAGCGCCAACTGCCTGTGAAGTTGAAGTTGAGGTCATAAATAAATGAAGCCAATTGCGTGCTGTATAGTATTGCGTGTCTGGTAATCAACAATGTTGCTATTTATAGTGCCGTCCTGCAAAGGTCAAATGTACTAACACTTATTCCAAAGCTACATTGGCTTCAATCTCTAAATCAAAACGCCTAATGTTGTGCAACTCCTTCTCTATTTCATGTATGTAGAAAACTCTCTTTGCTTCTCTGCTTCTCTCACATTCTAGCATGTCATTTTTCAATTGAATTTCAGACTTGTATGTATGCCTGGCACAACTGTGTGTAATTCCGGTCGCCTGGGGTCAGCTACAATGGCAAATACTTAGTAGAGGATTGCGTCACTGGTTCGTCATTTGGCTTTGTAATTAAATGTACAAATGAAAAATATTGACTTGAAATTTGCAAAATCCACATTCAAACAAAGCAATAAAACCTTATGGCATGTTGTTTGAGAGCATTACTGCCGACATAGCGTACATATGTGCAATTTGGTCAGCATACAAATTGACCAAAATTATGGCTATTGAGAGAAACCAGGAAAGAGGAAGGAAGAGAAGCTGTTGTAGATTGCATGAGTGCAGAACAACTTTTTGCGTTACAAATGTTAACAATTTACAAACAATATGCAGCGTCAAGAGGCCACAAGTCTGCACACAAATACACACATCGATAGATACAGTATGTACAAGTATGTATAGTAAATAGTCCCATTGAAAATGCAAACACATGTGCCATTACCACACAACAAATGAAATATGTTTGCTAACGACAATAATTTTGCAATGCTTTATGCTGCTTTGCTAAAAACTGCACTTTTTGCTGAATATATAATTTGTTGAGTACTTTAAAATTTCATCTGTGACCGGCCATCATTTCCGAAAAAAATAACACTTTTGAAAATTGTTGACGAACGCTTTGAAACATTACACTTTAATATGAGAATGCTGCGAATCACTTGTAATCTTTACTAACACGACTACATATCTGTTCGAACGTACAGATAATAAGACTTTGTGACAATTTAGAGACATTTCTTTTTCGATTTATTATCATTCACAATAAATTTAAAATCTGTGTTATACCGGATATTGAACACCATTGGATAAGTGATATATTTTTTGAATTATACGCTTAATAAACAAGTGAAGCACAAAAAGTATTCCTAGTTTATAAATTCAAGTACAAACATTTATCAAAAAGATAAAGACCGAACCTCTTTTCTTCAATTTCAATTATAATGTTATATTAAATATCTTTCTTTCAAGATACATCCTTACGCCTTTATTGAATTGAAACATCGAAACTTGAACTTAAATTAGTTTTAGTTTTAGTTTTTCTCATTCACACTAAATGTGATCTGTTGTGATACCAGTGCACACTGGTCGGAATTGCCAAAATTTTGGCATAAAATAAACAAATGTTTTGGAATTCTTGAAAAAAAAATTTGAATAGCGTAATAGAACATAGAATAATGTATCCAAGTCGCATAATGAATAATTGTTCCTCTAGCCCTGGAAGTTTGCAACAGCCCTTAAAGTCAGCTGTTTTTAAGTCAAAGCATTCCTGTTTTGTTGTCGTCTTACTAAATGCTATTTTGATGCCCAATTAATATTGTTGAAACAGTTTAGTTATTAGATCCTTGTAATGGAAAACATAGCCAAAGTTATGTCGAATATTGAACATTAACCAAATTTTATGTTTTCATACATGTTCTGTTCGTCTTTGTATGTTGTTGTGGGGTCATTTTTTTTTAGATAGTCTCATCTTGTTTGTAAGTCCTTGACGGTCCTTACTACTATGTATGGCTATTTGTTCATTAAAATGTATAGAATACGAATATATCACCCTTTCCAAAACTCGTGGTATGCTGGTATGCTCAAGGTGACCAAAATATGCGTACAAACTAAATTTGGGGTAAATATCTTTATATTTCGAATTTATGCTAAAATTGTAGCAATACCTTGATTTGGTTTTAAGCACATAGTCTAGCGACTGATATATCGTTTTAAAACTGTGCTCATTATAGCCTGTACCCAAAGGGTAAAAGGCTATACTAGTTTTGTGCGAAGGTCCGTCCGTCCGTCTGTATGAACGCAAGGATCTCAGCAAGTACAAGAGCAAGAAAAACCAAACTTGGTATCCAGATTCTCCTAAGTCCGTGAATTGACGAGTTTGCGTTTTTTTTCTGATACACCCCCTTTCCTGCCAACAACTCCCCCGCAATTCATGTTTTTCATAACTCCTGTAATTCTTCGAATTTTGAACTCAAATTTGACATATACATCCAGTTAGTGTTAGATTACATGATTGGTCAATTCTGAGGAAAGTTATAGCCATAAATAAAATCTCTGCCCATGCGCTGCCTGCAGCTCTGCCCGCAGCTGCATACATACACGCATATAAACACGCAGAGACACGATTCTGATGTAAATGTATGCTGTTGAAACTGTATTTAATTTAATTATATAATTTAATTAATATATTTTTTTTAATTATTTAAAAAAAAATTTTTTTTTCATTTTTCGTTTTTGGTGGGAGGGTATTTAAAAGTTGAGCCTGCTCGACTTTAGCATTCCTTTCTTGTTTTATATGACGATATTGCAATATGAAGTAAAAAGTCGGAGACTCTTATTTCCTTTCTGTCTACCTGAACACTTCTTAGTGGTCTTATTAGAACGAAACAAATAAAAGATCGATCTACATAAAATGCATACTTTAGTCCCTTAAACCTCTAAGCAGTCTTGTAAAAACTAATCAAGAATTTTTTAACAAATGTATTTGTTATGTATGTAGGAAATAATAAGCTTTAATGAATAAATAAGCTCTTCACTTACTCACCCGTTATATATAGTACAACCGCTGGTGGCATTACACAAGTACCAACCAGCCAATCCGTAATGGCCAAATTCATGACAAAACAATTGGTAACGGTGCGCAGTCGTCTAGTTGTCAGGACGGCCAAGATGACCAGCGTATTGCCAATAACTGTTGCCAATATGAGCAGCAGGAAAAAGGCCACTGCAATGGCCTTAGGCCAGGCCATGCCAATGAAATACGAGTTCACTGAGGGCACAGCCATGCCCACAATATCCGCCGAATCGGACATACTGGATGAAACCGTAGACACGGTGGCTGTCAAGGTCGTACTGATAAGGTCACTGCCCGCGGCAGCAGCAGCCGATAAAAGCAAAGGTGTTGCTGTGTAGGTGTTGTCGAAACTTTGGTGGTTGTTGCTGCCGCCGTTGTTGCTGTTGTTGCTGCTGCTGCTGTTGGTAATGTTGTTGATGTTGTCCTGCTGCTGCAGGTCCAAAGACACGTTGAAGCTGCCATTCGACTGCTGTTGTAAGAGCAGCAAAGCGTTCTTAGTGCCACTATCCAGGCTGCTGCTTACCTCCATTGTTGCTGTCAGCGCAGTGCTCAACAACAATGCTGCTAATTGTTGTTGCAAATCCACATTTTCATCACCAGGCGCAGTCAAAGTTGTCATTATGCCTTCTTAGAGTTGTGGTTATGGCACATGCTAATTAGTTGGTACTGTCGTTCTTATTAATCTTATTGTTGATGATGCTGCTATTAAAGACGCTGGCAACGTTTGATGTGTTGGCTTGATGGTTGACTTCATGATTGAGCAGCGGTGCCTGTGCGGTAAATTTAAATGACTTTAATTCATCTTGATCGATTTCCGGTACATACATTAATTGACTGAAGTACACCTATGGGAAGCTGTTCACAGAATATCAAATTAGATAGTTTTTACTTTAAAACTTTAAAGCAAATATTGGATACCATTGCTAAATTTGTATTCGTTAAAACAGTAACATTCACACCATTCGTTCTTCAAACGAAATACTCCTTTCAAAATTTAAAATTTTCTCAGAACCTTTAAAATAAACACACAATAATCAAGGTAAGGAAAGCATAATAATGTTCTATAAGGAAGGAACACTGTCAAAACCCCATGCCCAAGCATGACAAGACGAATCTATGTAGACTTGGACAGACTGACAAGTCCATTTGTTTGCCCGTAAAAACACCGAGAATTTTTGCAAGACCAAGTTATTACAAGGCGTGTAAAGCCTTAATATTTTATACAGCTGTTATAGGGCCGATCCATATAAAAATCACGCTTGTGTTTATTAAGATATGGGAATGAATTTTGGTAATTTAGAGTTTTTTCTAGTGCCTCGTAAAAGTCTCAAAGCATTATCCAAATCGGTGCAATAAAACATATCTTAATATCATGGTATCAAATAAAAGCCACTCAACTATGTACGAGTGTATCAGAAAGTATATCAGAATTGTTTAAGTTTAATGACTGTAGCGGTGAAACGTTGGATACAGGGTGCTCAAGTGGCGGGCTGGAAATGGGAAAAATAAATAAATAAACACGTATTGCCTGCAGTTAAGGAGATTCTACATCCTAAGTTGGTTAATATGGGTTCAGCCGTTTCTAAAATCAGGACATACCTTCAGACAGACGGACATGTCCCGATGGATTTCTCCCTTTATGCTGATTCAGAATATACTTTAGCTTTCAGATACAGCGAATGAGAAATATCTTGTAAGTCCTGCACTATCTGCATATTTTGCATTGAAAATACTTCAAACATAATCTAATTTAGCACAACTTATTGAATTTGTGGCGTTTACGCTCAGAAAGTGAAAATCGCACACGTATATCATTTGTTTATTCATCTATCACATTGCAAATTACGGTTTGAGCATGTCTATAAGTAATATGCGATATGTTAAATAAGATATGTATATCTGTTCAAGTTTAACAGCTGCGCTAAGTTGTCTGGCATGTTCCGAACTACACCACCAATCCCAAAAGCCACACACACAGACACAGGCAGAGACTCACTTGCAACTTGAAATGAAATCCATTGGGCGTAGCTGACAGCTATCGTGCCGTCGAATGTCAGACACTATTATTAGCAATGTGACACAATTGAAAATTAATGAAAGGCACTGCAAATGCAAGGACTGCCAATGGAACTGCTGAACTGCACCTACACACACAGCACTCATATACATAGATAGTATGTAGAGTAGATACTTCGTAGTCAAATGACTGACATTACAAGTTGGGACAGGATAAATAGAGCAGTCAAGTGGCTGCCCAGCAGTGTCAAATATTTGCACTAGTTTTTGTCTTGATACCGGTGCCGATTCACTATTCACTTCTATTTCTGCCAAAGCTATGCAGATAAGCTGCGATTCTTACACTATATAACTATGGGGAATTTCCCTAATGAAACTGCATTAGCAGAGCGACTTATTCAAAGAACTTAGCAATTCTCTTATCAACACAGATTCTGCAGAAGGAATTATTTTGAAAATCAAGTCATGCAGAGTTGTCGTTTAAACACAAGTGTTAACAGTAATAGTACACAAAATCTTATAAATATATATACATGTGTTGTAAACTATTAAGAAACCAAAAATATATGTTCTACACAAGGTCTTAGGCAGCTTCTTCCAAAAGGTTGGGGGGCCAAACAATTCAAATTGTAATTAAATAACGCACGATGCGTTAAAATAATAATTTATGCAAATGACAGAAAAACTTTAAAAAATCCAACTCAGTACCATTTTAAGGCGAAATAGTACGCCATATTAATGAATGTATGGTCGACTTCAGATAGCGAAAAATATGTTCTAAAGATTTAGGGGGGCAATAGCAATCCCTAACCCCCTGAGAATGCCCTTGGTTATATACCCGTTTTCGATCTAACAGCCACTTTTACTTTGTAGTCTTTAAACTCATTTAATTTTCAAATATTCTTGCCAGGCCGACTATCTATTTGCAAACTTATTAGTTAACAACAACAACAAAATGTTTATAAATAAAAGCGCAGCTGATGGCAATTGCATTTTGTGTAAAACTAAAAGTAGTATGTATTTGTAAACAAGAAAAAACATGAGTACTTTACTTGTTTTTGGGAAAGTTGCTGGCAATAAAAAAATGCAATAAAAGTTGTTTGGCTTAAAGTTTAAACAATGCGGGCTTAGAAAGCTTTTAACTTAACAGGCGGTAACAACAACAGATATTTTGTATTTTGCTTCAGTTGTGTGCGCTTATCTCCACTTTTTATACTCTGTACATGAAATATAAAAGAGTATATTAGGTTTGCGAAAAATGTAACAGGCAGAAGGAGGCGTGGAAGACCCCACAAAGTATACATACTATATTCTTAGAAAACGATTTCAACAGTTTCAACTATTAGACAAAATTCATTTCATGACACCATGAACACAGTTTAGTAGGATCTAGCTTGGAATTTCAAAACATCTGAGCAATTTAGTTACAACTCGCCAAAGTCCACTTGACTGCAGGGTGCTTCGGCGTGCTTATAGAGTAGACTTGTCGCCGGTAATTTTAATTTGATTACGAGCCTGATATTCCTTATTGAAAACATCATTTGACCTTACACAATTCGCAATGATTATGGGAGACATAAATTTGAAAATGTGGCGCTCCCTTGGATGGCATCCAACGACACGCAATTAAAAGCTAAAATGAATTGTACACTACAAGATTTTGTAAAAACTAAAACAAATGGCTTTCAATTAACAAAATTACTTGCTTATTTCAGCAATACTGTACAATTTTGGGTAATTTGTAGACCGGAATGCCAACAGCTTTCGCCACATTTATAATTGCAGCGTGGATGTACATATATGTATTTACATAGTATGTGTGCGAGTTGTGTATTTACACAAAAATGCAAATCAATGGCCAATAAATAAATCAACCGCATGTGCACAGAGTAAAAACGCAATGTTACATAAAATTATTTTTAATATGCTAATTGCCAGAAAATTGAGAGCAATTCAAATTTTGCGAATGCAGCATCAAAGCGCAAACATTTACTTAGGCACTTTTTTTGATTTTAAAATGCATCAAAGATTCATAAAATATATTGAGGTTTAGACAATTATTGGAATTAATTTGTTTTATTGTTTATTTATTTTGATTGTTTTTTTCCCTTAATGTTCCATTGATGTCTTAGTTTTAAAGACAAACTGAATTACAGGAATAATATACTTAGCAGTTTGTCGTAACTGTCTAACGAATTTGTAATCAACACACAGCCCAAATGGTAAGTATTTATTTTTCAATATTTATATTAAAGATTCGTGTGTTTTACTCAATGTTTTCAAAACTATCCATCCTCTTCCATTTTAAATTTGTAGAACACTATCGTAAAGCCATCATTTTTGATAGAAATAATACTTATATAAATACGCAAAATTTGCACTTTGTGTACAAAAAGCCATAAAGTTAAATAACATCTAAAAGAAAAAATCTTTTGATAATGAATAAAACATAATAAGCGGATTTGCTGGAAACAGTAATCAAAAGTTCAAGACAAAAAAAAATTAACAAATGTAGCAAATATGGCCCAGTAGCTAGAAAAATTTAATTGCCATGAACTGATAGTTTATTTTATACCGTTAGAATCAAATGTAACTTTTCACATTTCAAATTGTTTTAAATAGTGACAGTACACAAAAATGTTGAAGGCTTCATCGTCAAAGCTTACAATTTTGTTGCCAACTTGGCACACCTACAAACCAAATACTATTAATATTGAAAAAAAATTGCATTGGCAACTAAACTCTGACCGAAACAAACTCTCGTTTCAAATGACACTACTAAGTATATGAGGAGCACTTCAAACCCATTCCAGCTCCAATGTGAATGAAGAATTGTGGCTATAATGCGTTTTCTACATCGTTTAACAAATTCAAGTTTAACGCGCTTCGCGGTCAGGTAAATAAAGATAAACAAATCACAAATGATGAATTAAAGCGAACACGCCCATTCAGATGCTGCGATGCTTCCTCATAAATATACATAGTCTCTTTTCTAAAGCTTGCAGCATTCCATTACTTGAGACTGTCTATACATATAGCATATTCGTAGTTTGTTTGTGTTTGCGCATTGTGATTTACTTTTGTTTTAGTACATGTTTTAAGTGTAAAGTTTTTTTTACGCTCAACCGTTACATGCGTATGCAAATTTTTCCGTAACACGCGACAAATTTTACAATTGTTTTATACTTTTATTCGACGGCAGCTCACAAAAATTCGCCTAGCGATGAAATTCTCTGCTATTGTATTATTTGTGAGGCACATACACAGCTGCCGTCGGCACGCGTTGATTACAAACTGACAAACCAATCGTCAACTTTTGGACTGCCAGTCTGGCTGGGATGCCGGTGTTTAATGTTGTTTTTGTTGCTGTTGTTGTTGTGTATTTCACACATATACACTAAGAGAAAATATTAGATTTGTTGACACAGTCCATAATCAAATCATTTCAACGAACTTGTGATCAACTCACTTGAAGAGCAATCGCTCCTAATCGAATTCGAATCCATATTATTATAAGCA